AGAGCAGAGGGTGAACCCTGGTGCCAGTAAAACTGGAAGGGAATGAAGAAGCTATCTATGGAGATTATCTTTCCGACTTAGAAAAATGGCCACTGAAGCGAGTTAAGTCAGCCGGGCTGAATTCGGGTTGCATTCCAATGGCAGTTTTTTGGGGGAAATCCATGCGATGGCATCTGGATCCAGCCCAAATTTTACTTCAATTTGGGCGAGGTAAGTCTTTTTTAAAATGTGTTTTAAAGGTAGTGTGATAATCTCCTAAATAAAATATATAGACTCTCAGCAAAGATTTTATCACACCAACCTGCTGTCTCACCACAATCATGTGAGTCTAAGAATGGAGTCATATCATAATTTCTTATCACACTTTTCCCCACAATAGCGCTGTGCTGATCTATCATGACATGATCTATTTTCTGCACTGCCACATGCCACTTTCCAGAAGGAAAAGGGGAATGAGTGATGGCGGCTGCCAATGTGCACACAGCAGCCAGCTTTGGGAAGGTGTTGGCTGTCGCAATCATTTGTGAAGGGGCGAAGGAAGGAGAGGAGAAAAATCACACCTGCTCATTCCACTTGATTGTTTCAGAAGTGGAACTGCAGCAGAAGGGACCTATCACATGGAGGCATTAATGGAATAGCAGTGAGGTTGAAGCCTATTGATGGGTTTTCCCCATCAAAGAAAAGGTACACTACACTAACAAATGGAATGCAAGGCAGCAGCAAGATAGATACTATGTTTTGTGATAAATACCAGCCAAAGATGCTTTTATCCTGTTAAAATTATGCTCTTATAGCATTGTGTGGTAAAGTCCCAAGTGTTTGCAAGTTGCAGCAACAAAGGAATGAATGCTTGCCAGTAAGCTGCAGCTCTCCTAGCGGAGGTGGAGGTTTACACACAGCCCTTTCCTCTTGCCTGGAGGTGATTCCACCAAAATTGGAGAATTTGCACCCTTGTCTCCCATCTAGAGATAATCCATGATACGGGAGACTTGGGGTCCTGAGTTCTGGCAACACTATCATCAAATCTGATTTAGTGAATTGGAGATGTGACATCCGTTTTGTGCTCACACCTGCCTGAGAAAGAGGAGCTTGGTTGGCTTTTGAAAAGGTTTTCCTCTGAAATCAGCGAATACCCTGCTGCTTTTTTAATTAGCTAGGAAAAAAGGGGGTGCCACCAGCACAGAGTTAAACCTGGAACTGGTTTTTATTTATTTTTTATTTTTTGCAGCCCTACCTCATTTCCTGGTAACCAGCGGCCAACAAGGTCAATAGAGCAGAAATCCTCCTAAAGGGCCAATCTGTATTTGAATTATTTAAACAATGTAGAACAGCCAAGTTAAATGGAGCTTATCAGACGTCACACCTCTCAAAACACAATCAGAGATGGCAGGATATTAACTGCCAGGCCCAGCTCTCCACCGCAGCCCTGGGTGAGAAAAGCAGCCTCAGGTTTTTCCCTCCTCCCTTTCCTTTCTCTCTCCGTTTGGGAAAAGGAAAAGGACTCAATGCCCCCAGCTCATGGGTGGATTCAGGTGTTCAGCTGGGGAAACACAGGTGGTTTCCATTTGTTGTTGTTGTTAACTGCCCTCGAGTCAATCTTGAACCATGGCGACCCTAGGGATGAGACACCTCCAAGACCCCCTGTCTTCCACTGCTCTGCTTAAATCCTGCAAATCTATACCAAAAACCTCCTTAATAGAGTCCATCCATCTGACATGTGGCCTTCCTCTCTTCCTGCTTCTCTTTACCTTTCCCAGCATTATTGTCTTTTTCAAAGAGTCCTCTCTTTTCATGATGTGTCCAAAGTACAACAGTCTCCATTTGGTCATCTCGGCTTCCAGGGAGGTTTCTGGCTTGATCTGCTCTAAGACCCATTTGTTTGTCACATCCATCCATGGTAATAGGGGATACGATGGCTTGTATGATTCTAACTTTTGTGCTGAGTTGTATATCTCTGCATTTTAGAATCTTTTCTTGTTTTTTCATAGCCACCCTTCCAATTCTTAGAGCCGATGCAGACCGGCATTTTAGGCTGGTCTGGGGGTGGAGTGTGGTGGGGCAACTGCACTCCACTCACCCCGACTCTGCCCTGACACCGTCCCAACGCTGCATGTCCGTCTGCAGACCACGTGACATCAAGGTACTGTCTTGGCGCGACATGTGCACATGCTGTGCCAAAAGGGTGCAAAAAGGGTGCAAAAAAGGGCGCAGTGGCGACTCTCAGTGCGGCCTTTTGCCACCCCCAAAAGGAGTGGCATTTTGCTACTCTTTTGGGGGTGGCAAAAAGGAGGATTGGGGCTGCGGCATGTGGTTGCCGCGGCCCCGATCTGCTGCTCCCAGGGGCGGCCCAGAGCTACTCAAACGGGCTGTCTGCATCGGCCCTTAGTCTTCTGATTTCCTGACTGCAGCCCCCATTTCTATCAATGTTTGATCCCAGATATGGGAATTCTTTCACTATTTCTATTTCTTCATTGTCTAGGTTGAACTTGTGAAGGCCCTCGGTGGTCATTATATTTGTTTTCTTTATGTTCAACAGTAAGTCTGCCTTTGCATTTTCATCTTTGATTTTCCTTAGTAGGTGTTCCAGGTCTATGAGGTTTTCTGCTAGTACTATGGTGTCATCTGCATGTCTCAAGAATGCAACCTTGTCTGACTCCTTTGCCAATTGGGAACCATTATCTGTGTTCTGTTCTGACTCTTGTCCTGCATACAGTTTCCTCATCAGAACTATCAAATGTGTTGGCACTCCCATGTCTTTATGGGTGTTCCATAGCCTTTCATGATGTATGCAGTCAAAGGCTTTGGTATAGTCTATAAAGCATATGCTGATTTTTTTTTAAATTCCCTGGTTCACTCCATTAGCCATCATATGTTTGCAACGTGTTCCCTATGCCTCTTCCTTTCCTGAACCCTGCTTGGACCTTTGGGATTTCTCTCTCCATGTATGGTTGGAGTCTATGCTGCAGAATTCTGAGCATAATTTTGCTTGCATGGGGGAATCAGTGCTATTGTCCTATATTTGTTGCAGTCTCTTGTGTCTCCCTTTTTGTGGGTGGGGATGTATATTGATTGCTTCCAATCTGTTGGCCATCATTTTATTTTCCATATCTGTTGACATATGTTGTTTATCACTAAAGTTGACTCTGGGGCTATGGAGATGGGCGGCTCTGGGCAGTCCCTGCTAGGTCGCGGCAACCACGCACCGCGGCCTCAATCCTCCCTTTTGTCGCCCCTAACCCTAACCCTAACCTTTTCCAGTTTTGGGGGAGCTCCGTTTCAGGCAAGAGGAAAGGACCGGGTGCAAATCTCCAGCTCATCCAGAGAAGCAGTAGCATGCTACAATTTGCATGGTTTAATGGATTGGTGTTATTCTCCACACCTATGATCATCCTTGTTACTCTTCTCTGAATTTGCTCCAACTTGTTTATATCCTTCTTAAAATGGTGCACCCAGAACGGTGAACACATTGCTCCAGATAAGGCCTGATCAGCACAGAATATAGGGAGACTATTACTATTCCATGACCTAGAAATGATACTTCTACTAATGCGGGCTAGAATAGCCTTCATCTTCTTTGTTGCAGCATCACAACATTGGCTCATGTTCTATTTATGATCAACAATAATCCCAACATCCATTTCGCATGTAGTATTGTTGAGCCATGTATCCCCCATCCTATACCTGTGGATTGGGTCCTTCTGGCCTAAATATAGAAGTTCGCATTTGTATCTGTTGAATTTCATTTCATCAATTTCTGCCAAATTTTCTAGTTTATCTAGGGAGATTATCGCATGCCCAAATAAAGTGTCCTTTCCCTAATGGGATAAGGTCACGTTACGGGTTGCTATCAGATGTCATCGCGTGCCAAAACACCAACTCTGTTGCAAAGTGACTACAACCCATCTCCCAGCCGCACTTAGCCCACCAATTCTCAAGAAGGGGATACTTGAAAATTGGTGGGCTAAGCATGGCTGGGAGACAGGTTGTAGTCAACCTGCAACAGAGTGAGCATTTTAGCATGCAATAACATCTAATAGCAACCTGTAACATGACCATATCCTTTATTTGGGCATGCAATAATCGACGTCTTTTGGAATTCTGTTCCAATCTTCCAATGTGTTAGCCATCCATTGCAGCTTTGTGTCATTTGCAGACTTGATAAGGATTCCCTTCACCCCATCTTATACATTATTGATTAAAATGTTGAAAAATAATGGCCCTAGGACCCAGCCACAGTCCACTTGAGAGCTCGTTTCAGTTTGAAATATAGCCACTGATGATGACTCTTTGAACACGGTTTTCCACCCAGTTATGGATCCATCTGACAATGTTCCCATCTATTCCACATTTTATCAGTTTGCTAATCAAAATATTATGAGAACCTTAGCAAATGCTTTGCTGAAATGACATCCATAACATTTCCACAATCTACTAAAGTAGCGACCTGATTGGGGGAAAAAGATGTAAGATTCGTTTCGAAGGATTTGTTCTTGATAAACCCATGCTGGTTCCTCCAGATAACTGCATTGCCACTGGGATGCATCAGCAGGAGTGCAATTCTGTCCTCTATTTCATGATACTGGGGGTGATAAGGTTGTAGTTGTTGCTGTGTGCCTTCAAGTCATTTCTGACTTACAGCAACCCTAAGGCAAACCTATCATATGGTTTTCTTGGTAGTATTTGTTCAGAGGAGGTTTGCCATTGCCTTCCTCTGAGGCTGAGAGAGTGTGACATGCCCAGGTCACTCTGTGGATTTTAGCCACTGATGACTCCATCCTCCATGAATTAGCCACTTCCCTTTTGTTGGTGATGTTGTAGTCTCAAAAATGTTATAAGATCCCTTTGTTGTTGTTGTTGTGTGCCTTCAAGTCATGTCCGACTTATGGTAACCCTAAGGAGAACCCATCATGGGGCTTTCTTGTATTCAGAGGAGGTTTGCCATTGCCATCCTCTGAGACTGAGAGAGTGTGACTTTCCCAAGGTCACCCATTAAATTTATATGGCTGAGCCAGGATTTGAACCCTGGTCTCCAAAGACATAGTCCAACACTCAAACCACTACGCCACACTGGCTCTCGCTTCTCTTTTAACACTAGACAACATCTTGTGGCAGGGAATTCTGCAGTTTAACAAAATGCAGCATACAGATTTCTATCATTTCATCTGCCTTGTATTTCCAACCATTCAGCTTCTGTGAACAAAGGGTTCTAGCATTGTGAGAGAGTGGAGGAGTTTCCTAAATGTGTGTCTGTGTCTGTGTGTATACAAATGTAGAACTATCCCAGTGTATGATTTGGATTACACACAGATTAGATTACCTATCATATAGGATTAGACACAGATTAGACTACCTGTATGGAAAGATTAGACTCAGACGAAGGTGGAGTGAAAATTAGGCGAACATTAACAATATAAGATATGCAGAGAGCACCATATTACTTGCAGAAAATAGGAAAGGCTTGGGGCCATTTCACACTGCGCAATGCCTTTTTAATTATAGTGCTATGATTCCATTTCAGCTGGCATGGCTGCATCCTATGTAATCCTGCACTTTGTAGTTTGGTGGTGCACTAGAACTCTCTGGCCATGAATTCTAAATACCGTACCTCTCCCTAAACTGCACTGGGCCAAGAAGCAATATAGTGGTCTGAGCGTTGGACTATGACTCTGGAAACCAGGGTTCTAATCCCTGCTCAGTCATGGAAACCCATTGGGTGACCTTGGGCAAGTCACACTCTCTCAGCCTCAGAGGATGGCAATGGCAAACCCCATCTAAAGAAAGTTGCAAAGAAAATCCTATGATAGGTTTACCTTAGGGTTTCATAAATTGGAAACAACTTGAAGGCACAGATTGAGGGAAAGACTAGCTGAGAATACTAAGTGTCCCCTCCCTAAACTGCATATCTATGATTCCATAAGATAGTGTCATGTTAGTTAAAGTGGAATCATAGCTCCATAACTGTGAAATGTCAAAGGTCCTACCTTAAAGAAGAGAATTTGTAGCATAAGCTTTTGTAGATACATCTGATGAAGTAGACTGGGTCTGTGAAAACCTAGGCTACCTCTTCTAGTCTCAAAAGCCCTACATGATCTCTTTGTGGTTTGTGAACATGTCACACACTCTCAGCCCTAGAAGACCCTGCAATAGGTTCGCCTTAGGGTCACCATAACTTGGAAATAACTTAAAGGCACAAGACAATAACAATAGTGGTTTGAAGATGGAAGAAATTAGTGGTCTTAATTAAGAATCAAGAAACATTTGAGTAAGAAGGTATTTAAGACATATCAAGTCAAGCAAGAGGACTTTTTCAGTGGCTTAAAAAATGCTCCCAAAATTTTCAAAGGAAGGTTTTATCTTTCTGATGAAGTTGTTTTACCTGATCTGGTTTGACATTGACCAATCAAAAAATCCCTTTCTTGTTAAAATGTGTTTTCAGAACCGCTTTGAAAACTTGAACTACTTTCAAAATCTTAGGTGGTTAAGATATACTCTTGGCTTTATCCCTTGGGTTTGATTTGGACTATCTTTTATCTTGGAAATGTGATGCTGCTAAATCTCTGTGTAAGCAACAGTTAGTGCACTGAAGCGGTTGCAGTTTTCACTACAACTGAATCAGCTTGGCTCAAACACACTTTCCCTCCACAAACAGCACACATACTTCCCTGGAGATCCAATACTGATCTTCTCGTCGTCATCTTCTCCCATGATCTCCAGCTACTTTGCAGGTTGATGGGCTCATTCCTTAGGTCTACCTTTACAATCCAACCTTTAAAATTTAGGAATCTGCTGTAGGGTTGTTGTATATGTTCATCATTGAGTATATAGAGAAATGGCTTCTCCTTAACTTGATTGTTCCTTTTTAAAAGTAACACAAGCCAGCAGCATTACTTTTAAGTGGCATAATGTCATACATAGGAGAGCCAGAGTTGACACTGATTAGATTACCTATCATGTAGGATTAGACACAGATTAGACTATCTGTATGGTAAGATACACCACCATCAGAAAAGAATTCGGAGAAACAGAGTGGTTCCCAGTAGGGAAAAGGGTCAGGCAAGGCTGCATCCTTTCACTCTATCTTTTCAGTTTATATTCTGAAAACATCATAGGAAAAGCAGAGTTAGACTCAGAAGAAGGAGTGAAAACAGGAGGAAGGAACATCAACAACCTAAGGTATGCGGATGATACCATCGTAATGGCAGAAGACATCGCAGACTTGGAGCAGTTAATAAGGAAGGTCAAAGATGAAAATGCAAAGGCAGGATTAATAGTGGACATAAAGAAAACAAAAATAATGACCACAGAAGAAATACATAAATTCAATCCAGACAATGAGGAAATTGAAATTGTTGAACAATTCCTGTACCTAGGATCAAACAGAGTGGTGACTGCAGTCAACAAATAAGAAGAAGACTATGAATGGAAAGGGCAGCTATGAAAAAACTGGAAAAGATACGGAAGAGCTAAGACATACAACTGAGCACTAAAGTCAGAATCGTTTAGGCCATTATATTCCCCATCATCCCCATGTACAGATGCGAGAGCTGGACAGTGAAGGAAGCAGACAGAAAGAAAATAAACTTATTTGAAATGTGGTGCTGGAAAGAGTACTTAAGATAGTGTGGACGGTAGACGGCCAAATGGATTCTTGAACAGATAAGACCTGAGCTCTCCTTGGAAGCAAAGATGATCAAGTTGAGACTGTCGTACTTTGGCCACATAATAAGAAGGCACGGATCACTAGAAAAAAACAATAATGCTAGGAAAGGTAGAGGAGAGAAGGAGGAGAGAACCACATGCCAGATGGAGGGACTCAATCAGAGAGGACACGGGAATGGGTTTGCAGAACCTAAGCAGAGCAGTGGAGGATGAGGATCTTGGAGCTGTCTCATCCACAGGGTCGCCATGAGTCGGAATTGACTCGAAGGCAGCTAATAGCAACAACAATGGAAAGATGCAGATGTAAGATGTAGTATGTAAGATGTATGGTAAGATGTAGAGGCCAGTGTGGTTGTAGTGGTTTGAGCATTGGACTATGACTTTGGAGGGTTTGAATCCCTCCTCAACCATGGAAACCCATTGGGTGGACTTGGGCAAGTCACACTCTCTCAACTTCAGTGGAAGACAATGGTAACACCCTCTGAACAGTTTTGCCAAGAAAACCCCATGATAGGGTTGCTTTAGAGTCACCAGAAGTCAAAATTGATTTGAAGGCACCCAACATCAAATAACAAGGGTAAAGCCATTGAATCAGTTAGGTTTACCTGCATATTGGCTCACCTTTCAATGATTGATTCAATGGGTGCACTCTAGTTGGTACTAACCAATAGAAAAGAAGCCCTCACCTGGATAATTCTTGCCAAGAGGGTTGCAGACTGCCAGAAATAGTGCAAATTGAGTCCACTTTTAGGGTTAGGGTTAGTGCTAGGGAATCATGGGAATTGTTTTTTTTCTGAGACATTGAGCCTTCTCTGTCAGAGAGCTCTGGTGCCACAATAAAATACAGTTCACACGATTCCCTAACCCTAACCCTAATCCTAACCCTAACCCTAAAAATGGACTCAATTTGCACTATTTCTGGCAGTCTGCAACCCCAAATGTGCAACTTGAAAGAATGTAATAAAAAGATACAAATGAGCAATCATGTAGCCAGAACTTTGTTTTGATTTCCATCAAGACAATTTTTGACTTATGGCAACCCTATGAATGAGACAGACCCAAGAGCCCTAATAATGAACTCCTCGGCTCAGGTCTTGAAAATAGAGGCCTGTGGCTCCCTTGATTGAATTAATCTACCTATAGTGTGGCCTCCCTCTTTTCCTGATGCCTTCCACTTTACCAAGCATTATCGCCTTTTCCAGCGAGTCATGTCAACTCATGAAATGCCCAAAATATGACAGCCTCTGTTTACTTAACTTGGCTTGTAGTGAGTGTTGAAGCTTGATTTGCTCTAAGGCTGCATCTGGACTGCATAAATAGTGGGGTGTTATACTACTTTAACTACCGTGACTCAATGCTATGGAATTCTAGGATTTGTATTTTTTTGAGAAGTTCAACTTTCTCTGTCAGAGAGCTCTGGTGCCACAACAAACTACAAATCCAAGAATTCCATAGCATTGAGCCATAGCAGTTAAAGTGGTGGCAAACTGCATTATTTCTGCAGTGCAGATGCAGTCTGGGCCCTTGGTATCTGCTGGGCTTTGGTTCCAGGATCCCCTCTGGATACCAAAATCCATGGATGCTCAAGTCCCACTGAATACAATGGCATAGTAAAATGGTGTTCCTTACATAAAATGGCAAAGTCAAGGTTTGCTTTTTGGAATTTAGGTATCTTCGGAATATTTTCAAGTCTTGGATGGTTGAACCTGTATCCTGTGGATATGGAGGGCTGACTGTACATGGCATCTGTAAAACTCTTTTCCAGCTCCATGACATGATTTTCTTCATGTCAGCTTTCTTCACTGTCCAGTTTTCACAACACAGAAATCAGAAATACTAGGGACTGAATGATTCTGACTGTGATATTTAATGATATGTCTTTACACTTGAGGATCTTATCTACTTTCTTTATGGCTGTCTTTCCATGTCTACGCTGCAGAATTAATGCTGTTTCACACTGTTTTAACTGCCATGGTTCAGTGCTGTAGCAGTTTTGAGAGATATTTAGCCTTCTCCCGTTGTGGGAGAAAGGCAGAATATAAATCCTGGAAATAAAATAAATAAATTCTTGGATTGCTGCCATACTGTAGAATTAGTGCAGTTTGACACCACTTTAACTGTCATGGCTCCATCCTATGGAATTCTGGGATTTATAGTGTTTTTTTTGTTGTTACACCAGAACTCTCTGGCAGAGAAGGCTAAATATCTCACAAAACTACAAATCCCAGAATTCCATAGCATAGAGTCATGGCAGTTAAGTGGTGTCAAACTGGATTAATTCTGTAGTGTAGCAGCAGCCTCTGTCTTCTTCTGATTTCTTTTCTAGAAATCTCCATGTTGGTTAATGACTGAGCCAAGGTATAGGAAATCTTTATCTATTTCCATGTCTTTATCCTCCACTTTAGGGATCTTC